AACCCACTTACATAATTGAATTCTTGCCTGCTTCGACGAGATTACGTTTGTCTTTTGTTTTTTAACTAGATTTTGACCCACGCCAAGCGTGGGATTAAATATTGAAATATATTTTCTAATCGATCTTAATATTTAGATGTGTATTCTAATATTTATAAACGTACAAAATGATATGTATTGTGCATAAATGTAATAAAATTAAATGTTTACTAAACATATTTCAATGTCATATGTTTTGATCAATTTTACATAAAATATTTAAACTAATGCAAATGTTATTTATTTCAANTNATTTGAANTGTCAAATTGANTTTTATTATTTGTGTAAATAGTAGAGTATGCGATAAATCAAATAAATTTTAGATTTATAAAAATTTGTCGGACATAACAAACAAAAATATATGTTTTTTAATAATAAAATGTAAAAATATTTGTAAGTGTAGTTATCATCTACAAATAAATAATATTGTTACAAATATAATAATAAAAAGTTTTTTAATATATCAATTTATTTAAAAAAAAGATGATATGGTAAGTCTAAATATTACATTACTTAAACTTAACTTTGTAAAATATATATTAATGGGTTTATGTTATAAAATTAATAAAAAAATATAGAGATTTTCACCATAGCATATAGTTTTAATTAAAATATGTTCATTAGTTAATTTAAATGGCATATTCCTTAAAACCCTCATTGAATAATACATATGATTATTTCACCAAATGTCTATCCAATTAATATATAGAGGATTAGTGGCATTTTAAAGAAATTTTCAAAATGATGATATTTTTGAAAAGTAGCATTTCTAAAAAATTATCTTCATTTAGTCTAAATATCATGCAAATTAAATTTTGTAAGATAAAATATATTTATTTATACTGTAGATATATCTTTATTATTTTTAATTTCTTCCGTATATAAAAAAATCATGAATTTTTTTTTGAATATTCTCATCCCGTATTTAACGCATGTCAAAAAAATCTAATAGTCATTGAAAAAAAAGTTATTCTTACATATACT